AAGCTTATGCCCAAATAAATCTGTTAGTCTTAAAGGTGCCACCGGACTCCTTCTTGTTTTAGTGAAAGCTCGGGGGGAGGGCGCTCAGGGCTGGGGATGGAGGCAGAGGCTGTGGGGAAGCGGCGGGTCTCATCACTGTTATGCTGTAACCTGCAGCCCGGAGTGGAGGAGTCCCTGGGCGCTGAGCCAACGGGCTGGATTCTTGTGAATCACATGAGTTCCCCTCACCCCAGCCCCGCTCCTTCCAAATCAGGGGACAGGAGCAGGAGGGGGAGCGGAGGCCAGATTTGGTGCCGTGTCCCTGCTGCTCAGCACAGATGCTCCCAGCCACCGATTCCACCTGCAACCCCCCCTCATCTCCCCAGCCACTTCCCCAGCAGCCCTTAGTCACAGCTGCACCCCCTGACACCAACATGATGATTGAAATGGGAGGGTTTGCAGGATCAGGCCCTCATCTACTCTCTCATATATTATTGCTCCATATTTCATACAGGGGAAGGTGGGATCCAGGAAGGGGGTGAGGGGGGACTTCAGCACTGGAGCCCAGGTGGGGAAGGAGCTGAGATCCAAGCAGCTGAAGCTGGCCAGTATGTCAGGAACTGCTTCCAATAGGAATTTGCTACCAGTAGCAAAAACCAAAACTCACTTGAAGGCTGGAGCCTAAGGGCATGGCCACGCATGCAGATGTAGAGCGCTTTGAGTTAAACCACCCTTCGGAGAGTGCAGTAGGGAAAGCGCTGCAATCTGTCCACACTGACAGCTGCAAGGACACTGGCGTGGCCACATTTGCAGCACTTGCAGTGGCATAGGGAGCAGTGCATTATGGGCAGCTATCCCACAGAGCACCTCTTCCCATTCTGGTGCTGTGGCTTGTGGGAAGGGGGTGAGGCATTCTGGGTCCTGTCCCAATGCCCCGTGATGCATCGATTTGCATCCCAGCAATCCCTGTCCTTCCATCCACATTTGGCGCCATCTTTCAACATTTTTTGTGCTGCCCGCTTTCCTTCCTTTTCAGTCTGTGGGAATGGAGCCTGAACCACTGAGGAATATGCTGACGAGTCTCGCCAGCACGTCACGTTTGGCAGTCGAGTTACTCCTTAAGATCCAAACTGACAGTGAGGACTTCGACGATGATAT